ACTCTATCAATTATTTATTATTGAACAACATACCCTCTTTATTTTAAGGAAAATTTATTATTGATATTTTTCTTGAATAAACTAATAAGTGTTCTTATCTTCTTGAAAATGTGGACACACACACACACTTTATTTAATTTGTGCGAGTTTTTGATACATTTTCATTCATAAATAGTGATATAGTTTTTGAGTTGTATTCTTAGATATTTTTAGTTTAGCACTTGAAAATCCTTTAGATTCTGAAGATCTTGTAAAAGAAACTAAAAATCATCTTCCGATAAGCAACAATCTTTCATGAAAATCAAGCGTGTTAATTTAGCAACTCAAAAATTTAAAATTCTACCATATCATTATAGTAAAGGTTAATGATCATTTTTTTTTCATGAATTGTACATGAAAGTCATGAATGTTTTTAAACTCAATTATAAGTTAATTTTATCCCTCAACTCTAATAATGCCCTCCGACATCATTCTAATATTAAAAACACTTAATGTCTATTAGTCATTAATGAGTCTCACTATTTTTTTAATATTTTTTATTAATTTAAGGGTCATTTTTGCCCATTAAGTTCTATTTAAAATAGTCATTTTTATCCTTAAACTCAAATATTTTATGATAAAAAATATAATGTAAAATTCACTAACAGTTAATTAATAATAAAAAAATGGTAGAGTAATGACATAGTAAATCTTTAAAATTAAGGGATTAAACTAACTCATAATTAAATTTAAAAATATCTGTGATCTGTCGTGTACAGTTTAGTGACCCTTAACCCTTATAATTGATATAAGATACAGATATCATATTTTATAGAAAAGATCATGTCCATCTACTCAGCATAATTTCCTCCAAAGAAAAAGATGCGCTCTAGTCTATATATTTACAAGTTTCGTAGGGCTAATGTAATAAGTTTTAAATTGTTAATTTAAAATTAAATTATTTTGCAACCTGTGTGGCTCCGCCACTGGTTCAGATAAGGGATGAACAGCGTTGCTGGCGGGGATTATAAAAACCAAGTGGTGCCTTCAAAACATACACACATTATAAAATATCTTGACACAACTTTTTTGTGCTTACCACCTCACACGTTTTAATTTACTCCCAGGTCCCAAAACATGGCCTTCTCAGGTGCCTCAAACCACAGCATCAACAACAACAACGGCCAATGCAAGTTAGCTGGGAAAGTAGCCATCGTCACTGGCGGCGCAAGCGGTATTGGCGAGGCAACGGCGAGACTCTTTGCCGATCAGGGTGCTCGTATGGTGGTCATTGCCGACATCCAAGACGAGCTGGGCAACCAGGTGGCGGCGTCCATTGGAACAGACCGGTGCAGCTACGTCCCCTGTAACGTGGCAGATGAGGATCAAGTGAAGCATCTCGTGGAGTCAACGGTCAGTACCTATGGATGCCTCGACGTCATGTTCAGCAACGCTGGTATTCTGAGCCCTACGAACAGACCATCCTTGACCTCAACTTCTCCGAAATGGATAGATTATTTGCGGTCAACGTCCGCGGAGTGGCTGCGTGCGTGAAGCACGCTGCTCGGGCAATGGTGGAGAAGCGCGTGAGGGGGAGCATAGTGATCACTGCCAGCTTGGCTGGCAGCAGCGGTAGTACGAGCTGGACTGAGACTGATTACTGCATGTCGAAGCACGCGGTGGTGGGGCTGATGCGGGCTGCGAGCGTGCAACTGGCGGCGCGTGGGATAAGGGTGAACAGCGTGTCACCAAATGGACTGGTGACCCGATTGAAGAGCAAGGTAGGTCGGATGAGCGAGGAGGATTGGAGGGAGTGTTATAGAAAGTACAAGAGGTTGGATGGCGTGGACCTCATGCCCGGACACGTGGCGGATGCGGTGCTGTTTCTCGCTTCAAGCGATTCCGAGTTCATCACCGGTCACGATCTCAAAATTGACGGAAGCTTTACTGGTTAATGAAAATGCAAACTGCAAATAAAGTGCTCTTTTTCTTGGTGTCGTAAAAATGTATTTTCGTCAATTCTGCTCTGGTGGTCAATATAAGTCAGATCAGTTCCGAGTTTTATCCAGCGTGCATATGCTGGGTAGTCTGTAATGAGTGTCATCGTGTCTGTTTAAAATTTGCCTTTGTTTGTTTTCATGACTAATGTACTGTCCAAGTTCAAACTCTGAATTTTTATTGTGGTATAACTTCATGTCAAGCTCTCCAAACCTGTGTACAAGTCATTCGTGATACCATATCGCATATCCTGAGAGATCACCAGAATCAACCCTTAGTGAAGAAGGGCAGCTTTAGAGTGCGACCCTCGTATTTATGGAGCTTATTATGTATGCATTCTGAGACGTAACGGAATATTTTATTTGAAATACACCAAAAAAATCACTGAGCATTCTATTCTCATTCACTAAATTTCACCCAAGAAATGGCTCACTTTTCTTGGAATCGCCATCCAGGGGAGGACCCACGTTGGGCAATGTGAAGGCAGTACAGCTGCCCTCGCCAACGAAGGTGAAAATTGCATATATGGCTCCTGAATATTCAATTTGTAGCCTCCAATTTGTATAAAATTTAATATGTGCCCCCATACAAAGTTTCATTTCCTTCTGTTTAACTTTATATATATGTAACTCTTTCATCGGACAGCAAAATTTGGGATTTTACTCAAGAACAGAGTCACTGCCACCCATCACTGAGGTAAAGGCTATCATCATTGGCCTATATCACTGTCGGAGACTGGGCATGAGGAAAGTTAACGTGGTCTTTAACCGTGTCAATGTTGTCAATTTGATTATGAGGGACTCCCCAAGCCAAGAGAAAATTATACAAGTTGAACCTAAAAATATTTAGTTGCCCCTTTGAAAAATTTCAATTGCCTCCCTCATTCCATAAAAATTCACTTGATCCCTTAAAAATTTTTACTTGTTTCACTGAGAAATTTATGGCTAAAAATGTTTCTATGTACTACTCCATATCATAAGTAGCAATAGTGTTAGGACAAAGAGAAAAATAATTTAGAAAGAGTAATCTTTCTATACAAGAGGTAATGAGGTATATAGATTTTATTTAATAAAAAAAATATGATTCTGATATGGACATAAAATATTAATATTATTTTAAAATAAACTATACCCCATTGACTTATTTTTCTAGGTTCATCATTGAAATTAATTATAGGCAGAAATATGAGAAAACAGAGGTGGAAAGGGTTTTAGAAAGACTTTCTAAACCAGTTAAGATGAAAATCTGGTCTAGAAAGTAATTTTTTTAATTTAAAAATAATTATTATATTACTTTCTAAACTGGTTTAATTATGAAACTGGTCTAGAAAATAATTTTAAAAATTAATTTTTAGAAAATTTAAATATTTCTACATTGGATCTACATTTAACCGATTTAGAAAGTAAAAAAAATTTATTTTTTTAAGTAGTCACATATTTCAAATTGGTTATACTGTCAACCATTTTAAAATACTTCCTCTGATCCTATTTATAAGTTATTTCTATTAACATCATCAATAGCAATATAACAAAAGTATAAAGACTAAAATTTAGTAAAATTACAAACATAACCCTCAAAAAGTAAATAAATTATATAGTATTATTTTTTTATTTCTCTCTCTCTCTCTCTTACTTTTTAAAGGTAGTTTAGATATTTTATTAAAAATAAAATATTACTATTAATTCAATGACTTATAAAGTGGACCACTTTAGGTGACCAATGAAGTGGATCAGAGAGAGTATTATTTAAATTGGTTCTAATTTTACCTGGTTTAAAAATTCTTAAACCACGGCAATTAATTGCGATAATACCACCGCCTCTTCTTTTTTAAACTGCATATACTATAACTGGTTTAGACAGTGAGTTTTAGATCATTATTTTCCGTTAGTGTGTAAATTCTTATTAAGTGAATCAATCTTTGATGGTAATATTTTAAAATTCATTTTTTTAAATAAAACTACATTGTTGACGGCAGAGCCAAATCCAAAGGAATCAACATAAAGGTGTGAGCCTTCCTTTTGATAATGTGAGTTGGGCAGAAGTAGATCCCCCATTTTAATTGGAAAGCGAAGAGTATTTTAATTAAGAGATCTAAATTCAAAATTTTAATCACTTCCCATGAAATGTATCTAATATTGAGATAGTGCCATAATTAATTTACTATGTTTAATTTTAAGTGTCTTCACTGGAACATAAATCTGTTGAAATACCAAAAATTTTTTGGACCAAGCTAAACCTCTCAAGTCTCAAATATATATCATTGGTCAACCAGACCTATCTCTGGTTGTTTTTGTTGGATTGGGATTCATAATTTCATATTAATGTCACAAATTTAAGTTAAAGGGTCCATCTTATATACTCCCTCCCTCCGTTAAAAAATGAAAGGCCTTTTTTGAGAGATTAGGTGTTAAAAATATAAGACAATTTTAATATTTTAAAGTATAATCATTACTTTTTTTTAAAAGGCCTTATTGAAAAATCTTATATGTAGAGGTAAATATGAAAAGATAAAGTTAATTTAAAATAAATAACTACTTTATTGAGGGGTGAGATTTAGTTAAAAATATCTTATATTTTTTAATGAAAGGAGTACAATAATATAATTTCATAAGCAAATGCTCTCCAGCAGCTTTCTCTTAATCTGGGAATTAAAGGTGGGGCATTTATGAAAATATTAATATTAATAATCCCAATCTCCTACTCCTACACGATATATCGCAGGGGTAACGTTTATTTTATATAAGCTTTTTTAAATACCATGTCAGCTCTAAGCTTAATATAATTTTTTTTTAAACCATCGGATAAACTTTTAAGAACCTCCAACTCAATCGGTGTTGTTGGAATTGACAAAACTAAATGCAGCATATGATGTCATGGGCTACGAAGACATAAATGTTAGATATCTTAACTTAATTTCTTTAGGACCTTTTTTTTTTTTTTCCCCAGTGACTAACGAAATTTAGGTATTAATTGAAACAGTGCACCTGTTCAGCTGTTTCAATCTCAAAGTGGGAAAGAGTCTAAAACCATGGTTGTAATATTAAGGTCCGAGCATTGTAGAGACAAATGGTGCCTTATAAATTCTGATCCCCAGATTAGTTCTCTTAACATACTGCCTGTTTAGCGTTTATCATCTCTTACAACAATTCCCCCCAACAACATGGTGGCAGCTGCCTCCGATTCCACAGCAAATCTCGCCGTCAATGATCATCCCAAGTTAGCCGGGAAAGTAGCCATCATCACCGGTGGCGCAAGCGGTATCGGAGAAGCTACGGCGCGTCTGTTTGCCAACGAGGGTGCACTTATAATAGTAATCGCTGACATTCAAGACGAGCTGGGCAAGCAGGTGGCGGCGTCCATCGGAACCGACAAGTGCAGCTACGTCCACTGTGACGTGGCTGACGAGGATGAAGTCAAACACCTCGTGGAATCGACTGTCAATACTTATGGACGACTAGATATCATGTTCAGCAACGCCGGTGTGGCGAGCGCCTCCGAACAGACCATCCTTGACCTCAACTTCTCCGAAATGGACAGGTTATTTGCGGTCAATGTCCGCGGGATGGCGGCGTGTGTGAAGCACGCTGCTCGTGCGATGGTGGAGAAGCAAGTGAGAGGGAGCATAGTGTGCACGGCAAGCGTGGCGGGCAGCAACGGGTTCCCGATAGGGACAGACTACTGCATGTCGAAGCATGCAGTGGTTGGGCTGATACGGTCGGCGAGTGTGCAACTGGCAGCGCGTGGGATAAGGGTGAACAGCGTGTCACCCACGGCAATAGCGACGCCATTGTTGTGTAACGGGATAGGACTGAGCTCGGAAGAGGCCAGAGAGTTCTGTCGAAAATGCGCGAGGTTGGAGGGCGTGGAGCTCACACCCGAACTCCTAGCGAAGTCGGTGCTGTTTCTGGCTTCAAACGACTCGGACTTTATAACCGGTCATGATCTGAAGGTGGACGGAAGCCTTGCGAGTTTCTGAAGGCGGACGCGAGCCTCGGGGTTTCTAAAGTAAAAGTTATGTGAAGTCCCAGATACTGTGTGTTACTTGCTAATAGAATAAGAAATATACGTGATACGGAGAATGAATCTACCTTTTTTTTTTTTTTTCACACCAGAATGAATCCACTTTAATTTTACAAAGTTTGCCTTGTTTGGAGGTCAGAATATTCTATATTTTACAAAAATTATAATAAAATAAGAAAAATAGTTTTTCCCTTTGTTTTTGTGCAAATATTGTTCTAGATTTATTATATAGAGTCTTAGAGGCATTTGGATTTATATATAAACATTAGATTTAACCATTAGATTTGTATAGAGCCTTATAGTAGTTTTTTGTGCAAGTGTTGAACTTAAGAGACAAGTGTTTTATGTGACACAATAGTGACCACTAGATTTAATTGAACAATTGTTAGGAATTTTGTTAGATGATACTCCGAAAGTACTGAATCTCAAAATTTTAGACATATTTTGATAATTTTTAAATGTTAATAAAATTTAATAACTATAATTGAAACATTTATTGATTGAGTAGTGAATTTAAATCACTCACATGATCCAAATCTCTTTTGAATTGCTCAAAGATATTTTCTAATTGAAGAGAATCCTATTCTAGGCAAAAAGTTATTAAATTTGCAAGTTTAAGTAAACTCGTGATAAGAATATAAACTTGAATTGCAAAATCAAATCATAAACTCAAATGAGTTTACCTTCATTAATAAATAATCATTAAAAGTTTATTATTAAATAATTACTATAAAAAATATGAATGTAATTTGATTTAAATATATTTAGAATATAAATTATTAAAATTAAACACATATAAATTGATAAATTATCATACAAAACAGATAAATTTTAAAATATGAAAACTTCTTTTTGTGTTTTTTATTTTTTATTAATATTAATTTTTGCTTTTAAGTTTTTTTTTTCTTTGAATCAAGTCTATAACTTTTGCGATAATTTTTTATGGTAGATACTTAACTCATTAAATTAAAAATAAAAAATCAACGAACCTGCATTTGGTTTAAATTTACGAATTAGTTAACATAATTTTATAAGTTAAAAAAATAAAAATGATAAATTCAGAGATAAACTCGCGAATCCAATCGAGTTTGTATTTAATCTGAATTTATGATTAAATTGACATGATTTATAAATTAAAAATATAAAATTATTAAATTTATAAAGTTAATTCATGAATTTGATAATTATAGTGGATAAGGTCAGACATTAAATGTCATATTTTCTAACAAGAATTCTAATTGATTCACCATATTATAAGAGAAGATCACGTGTCGTTATACCCAATCCTAATTGGTGCACACCATGATCCAATTCTGTCTTGCAATGAAAAAGATGCAGAAAGTCCGACATCTGAAGTCATGGGTTGTATACGTGGACAACATCACTGTTTCTTAGGCCTGAAACATTTGGGCCGTACGCCATCGAGTCAGCCTGCAAAAAGAAACGACATACTTTTTCCCTCTCCTTTCTTTTTCTTTTTTTTTCCCTGAACGAGATTAATAACCGTTCCAGTGTTCCAGTAAGTATTGTCAAAAAAAAAAAAAATTGTAAAAAAAAAAAACATATTTTAAACAGGAAGACATTTTTCTATTGTAATTTTTTCAATCACAATTTAAACTCCAGACTTTGTTTAGCATCAAACTTCTCCCTTTGATCCAACCATATTTAGCATTTGCGATATGAATTTTTTTTTAGTGACATCACAACTTTTTACATTCTCTACGGACAAAAAATTTAAAATAGTAATAAATGATCTAATTATTTTTATTAAAATTTATAAAGTGTTTATCATGAAATTTTGTGATGAAAATAAAACACAGGAGGAACTTTTCAAATGACATTTAATTTAATTAGTTGTAAAAAATATCTATTTCCATTTTTTTATTAGAAAGCATAGCAAACGCTTAAAAATTGACCACACTCTAAAGTTTACTCCAAGGGAATAATCCTGGCCTAAACATAAACCATAAAATTTATCTCATAATTAATCTTTCAAATTCCTGTCATATCAATTAATCAAGTCCTTGTAAAAAAGAACTAATTATTTTAAAGGGATCAATTAATTTAAATTAAATTTTAATTAATTTAAAGAGTCAAATTTTAGAAATTTGCAAGTTTGGTTATCAATTTTTTAATTTAATTGTGATGAATTTATAACTTATTTTTTAAAATTTTAATATAGTTGAAGGATAAGTAAATTTTTTTATTAAAATTTTAAAAAAATTACAAATTAGCTTAAATAAAATTATAAAATTGAGAATTGAACTTATAAATTTTTAAAGTTTGATGCTTTAAAATTAGTTGAGATTTAATTTAAATTAATTATTTTCAAGTGTTATTCTCCATAGATTAGTCCTGATATTTTTTTTTAATATTTATCTCCACGTGGAATTTAGAACTTTTTTGGGATCTGGATTTTTTTTTACAAAAAGAACATTAATTTGATCTAACAATTAAGGAAATTAAAGAAAATAATATCACGTTCAGAGATTTTTTTTTAATAGAAATTCAAAACTCTATTAATGAAAACTAATTCCGTTAAACAAGCTACAAATAATCCGAGGAATCGTTCAGAGAACTCTAGAACTTCTTCTTGGTTTTTTTTTTTTTTTTTCCAAGTAAAAGTTTTATAGTCAATATACTTCAACCAAAGCTTCTTTTCATTTTTATCATATTTGGCATACCCATAAATTAAATATCCACAAAAATGCTTAAAATAGACATAAAATTGGGCCTCATGGATGGAAGATAAATGGTAATTCACAACATCACTAGTAATTAAATTCTTTGATTTTTTTACTAGCGCCTCTTGAAGTGACGCTTTCAATATGTACGGAAAATATAATTATTAAAAATAAATAAAATGAAATAAATTAAAAAATATATGAAATAAATTAAATTATTTTTTCTTTTCATAATAAATATGATAAAGTTTATTAATATATACTATAAATGTGAGAATCATTACATATTTTAAAAAAATTTATAAATTATGATTTTTAATCTTATAAATTAAATTACTCTCTTTTTTTTATAAATGTGATCTAGTATTTCTTTCACTTATCTCATTTTTATTTTTATTTTTTAATTCATTTTATTTTAACAAGCAAACGGAACATAAAAGAGATAACATGGAAGCCACTCAGATATATCGCCAATCTAAGTGGATGGAAGCGCATGATGCGATGAAGACGAAGTTTACAGAATGATCCACTACCCTTTTTTCTTCCTCAACTTTCCAGCTCAAGGCTACCAAACGCTGATCCAATGAAAACGCATTCCCTTACTGCCGAATCACCTTCCTCCACAACTCTACCTCTCTCTGAGTCTGATCCACCATGTTCCGTGCTTCATCCTTCGGCTAGAATATACCTGCACTGATGCATCCATGTACCAGTACCACTCTCGCCTTTCATATTCCATTATTCCTATCTGCAGAATCACTACCTAACCAGTCACCGCTATGCCTTCCGGAGACAAAAATAGCAATACATGCAAAGCGCAAGTCAAGTTCTTTGCTAGTTATATGCAAGACAGAATCCACTGGGCTCGTGTGTGGTCGGTGCAGCGCTATTAATTTTCGGTGATGATAGAGAAATTCTCCTTCATAAAGTTTAGGCTGAAGAAATTATATTGCTGAACCAGTGATGTAGATTAATACCCAGCCATCGTGGTCAATGTGACAGATCCTCTTTTCTCTCTTTTGTAATTCAGTGGGGCTATTTATTTCTTCATGAAATTCCATTCATCCCGCATAATCTAATATTACTGCCGTAAGTTCTTTGGAGGTTCCTTCTTCCATTCATCCAGCATAATCTAATATCACTGCCGTAAGGTCATGTTGATTACTGGCTTGGTATTTTTTTCAAGTGCAATTAATTTTTGGATTCTCAAGACGCAGAGATTTTGGGCCTCAAAAGGTCGAAATCATTGGCACAATACGTTCAAGAATCGCATTTAGTCCATATTCTAATGGAGATGAGTATATATTCCTGACCTGAGCGAGAGGGTTCTCTACAGTGGGGTACAACCCGCCATCCTGAGAGTGACAATTCCTACAAGAGCAACGATTGGTTCTTAATCATTTTCACAACGCAAAAGATCGGGTCTTGCACAATGCCACTCTGTGGAATTTACTCAGCTTAATTATATTAACAGATACATATTATCATCCTAAGAGGTGTATATAATTTTCTGGTAAAAATTCTGTGAGATCTCTCAAACCAGCTTATCCACATCACAAGTGGATACTGTGAAAGCTTAGTGAGACACTGAGATGGACTGGTAGCTATAGAAACACAACCAGTTCCAGGCTATTCATCCCTTACCGTGTTCTTATGTCTTCCACAAAGTCCTTGGGTAAAAATATATTAATGTTTGTCCCCGATGTAAATTGGCTTCCTGTTTTATTTAAAATTACAGAGGAGGAGGACGGATGGGTTACATATCCCAATGAATAGAGTAAATGGTGGAGCCCATTACTTGGATGCTTCAGGCCACCCAACTTGGGGATCTTGAAGATCCATAATAATCCAACCTAACTAGGATTTCTCTACTTATCCACAGCCACATGTTTTTATGATCAAGGATACAAGACTCAAAGCCCTGAAAAGATACTCTTGCTTGCAAGGAATAGAGAAGTTCATTTGGTATCATTCAATCTGACAGCTCTCTCTAATGAGAGCCTCAAAAGAGACAAAAATCACATGACTATTTGGACTCATAAATGGTCTGATGGCTACAAATCGTAATCTTCATAACCAATTTACGTACCCAAATTCAAACATATAAGAATTTTATGATTTTGTTTTAAAGATGTCAAAAAAAATTTAAATCTCTATAGGTTAGGAAAGATTGAAAGGAGGATGGTTAAGAGATAGCGTAGAGGACAAAGCATTGATCTGTCAATATTAGCATTAAGTCACAGTGGACATACCATTATATTGGTGGGACATACTTGAAAAGCTTCTTTAAAACTTTTCCTTCATGCTCAACATCATACTATTATGACTTCTTTCAATTTGCCCACTTGCTTCTTTAAATTTGTGTCTCATCTTCTGATATCAAATCCATTCCCCGATAATAAGTATGGTGACAAATATACACTGCATGGTTGTTCATGCAATAATCTAACGCCAGCTTTGATTCCCAACATGCAAATCATCTTGCTCCTCAACAATATCATCCGCAAAAACACCACTTTATACGTGGCTCATTTTAAACAAATTTGGTTAACTGTGTCATGATTAGCATTTCCACATATTGTAACCCTGTCCTATCAGAAACTAACAGAACAATACAAGGAGGAATTTAATTAATTGGAAGATACGAACATCTAAAGAGATGGGTGGGAGATTTGATCATATTGTAACCCTGTCCTATCAGAAACTAACAGAACAATACAAGGGGGAATTTAATTAATTGGAAAATATGAACATCTAAAGACATGGGTGGAAGATTTGGTTCCTGGATCTTCTCATCCACCCCTCCCCCTTGAAACGGGGAATAACCAACAAGGATAATGATAGCGGTAGAAACTGCCATCCTCATTGTAAGGTGTAAACTAAAGAGATTATTGAGAGTAAATGGTCGCTTTCGCGAAGTCTAGATCTTTCCTCTTCTGTGGGAAACCCCATTTCTCCAGCTTATAAGTACTATTATGCTTATCACTTCCACTATAACAGAAGAATTTCTCGATCTAGTAGCGTTATATACCACAAGCATCCCCATCACTGCTGCAACCAAATTCAGAATAAGATAATACAGTAGTCGAAAGAAGTTCAGAGATGGTAAAGCTTTAAACTTCATTATTTAAACTCCTCTTTTATCTTAGGTTCCAAGACTATTGCTTTGTTCTAAACACAATGAGAAACTTGTAGGATATTGAAGCTCGGTCGAACGTATGGGAAGGTTATGTAGATTGGAGAAACAGGCCTGCCTTGAGAGGACGCCCCGGTGGCATGCTGGCTGCCTCCTTTGTTTTAGGTTAGTGCAGTCTAAGTCCATATTTTATGTTTCTCTGATTTGTTGATAATAAAATATTTGGTCATTGGATATTGGAAACTGAGATATCTTTCAGCTACATGATTCTTTTTATCTGTTTGTTTCACAAAAGGTATTACATACATACACATATATTTAAATGTATATCTATATCTAATTTTTACGCATTGCAAATTACAGCTGTGGAGGTACTGGAAAACCTGGCATATCTTGCCAATGCAAGCAACCTTGTTTTGTATTTGACAAAGTTTATGCACTTTTCGCCGTCCAATTCTTCCAACATTGTCACTAACTTCATGGGAACATCCTTCCTCCTTGCTGTTCTCGGTGGTTTTTTGGCAGATTCCTATTTAACCACCTTTTCCATCTATCTGATAAGCGCTGCAATTGAATTCCTGGTAAGTCGCTAGATTAAAATATATATACAGTTTATTTCTTCATTTTTATTTTATTAACTTTGCCAGAAACATCGATATTCATGTATCTAATTTAGTCCAAAGTTGAGTTTGAATATTAGGCTCAATCAACTAGAAAGGAAAAGAAAAGCTAATTTCAAATTTGCTACAGCATGTTGCACTGTAATAGACTAATAGTTGCTGATAACCGCATGTAGACAGAACTAGAACAAGCCAGATAGCCCTTATAGGTGATGCTTCTAGGCTGTTCGTTCCTCTGGGAGTAAGGAATCGCTACAGGAACATTTATAGGATAATTCTAGAAGAGAGAACCCACAGAACGTAACGTCGTAGTAGGCACGTGAACACCACATGGTCAAGATATGAACAACTTAATTAGAGCATGGCACTAAGCTAGCCCCACCTGCTGATGGCCGTCTTCATCCCCAAAATGAATGAAGAAGATATGAAACCAAACGTTTATAACACTTACTATTCTATGTCGAAATAACCATCCTATGCTAACACCAAACTCTTGCTTTTAAGTTGAAATGTCTGTTAAAATCACTTCTTACTGTTATTTCAAGTCGAACTTAGTTTTCTTCAACAATTAAGTGCATTCTGCAATAACATGATGCATCGAAAAAGTTTCGTTGGTATATGAGATCGAATTTTTTCTTTTTTTACGTGAAATAGGGTTTGTTAGTACTTACAATACAAGCTCATATACCATCACTCAAACCGCCAAGGTGTTTTATGGGAAACACTGAAAGTCTATGCCAGAAAGTTCATGACGGGAAGGCAGCGATACTATTTACAGGCCTTTATTTGGTGGCACTGGGTGTGGGGGGGATAAAAGGTTCTCTTCCTCCTCATGGGGCTCAGCAGTTTGATGAATCTAATTCAGAGGGAAGGAAGCAGAGATCTGCGTTCTTTAATTACTTTGTGTTCAGCCTATCGTGTGGGGGATTAATTGCAGTAACTTTTGTGGTCTGGATTGAAGATAACAAAGGCTGGCAGTGGGGTTTAGGAATCGCAACTGCAGCAATACTGATCTCCATCCCAATTTTTCTCCTTGGAGCTGGGACTTATAGGACCAAAATTCCTACAGGAAGTCCCATCACCACTGTGTTCAAGGTACATCCCGCATAAGCTAAGTAAAACCATATATATTTGTGTTTGTGTTTGTGTACCCGAACGTGTGTGTGTGAAGTTGATTTTTGAAGGAAAGCTAAAGGAGATGCTTTATATTTGCTTACAGGTTGTTACTGCTGCAATTCTCAACAAATGCAAAGCTAGGAATTCAACTAATGCAATAACGAGCATGGCAACAAGTCCATCCCACGCAACTGAAATTAGTAAGGGAGAAGAGAGTAACAATAAAAACAAGGCACAAGACCAAAGCCAGACTTTGACAGAAAGTCTTAAATTCCTTAATGGAGCAGTGATGGAGCCAGTCCGTGCAAACCTTCGATGCACAGCAAGGGAAGTGGAAGAGGTCAAGATAGTAATAAAAGCTCTTCCCATATTTATGTCCACCATCATGCTAAATTGTTGCCTTGCCCAGCTTTCGACATTCTCCGTCCAACAATCTGCCACTATGGATACTAGGCTTGGCTCCTTCAAGGTCCCACCAGCTTCCCTACCTATTTTCCCGGTCATCTTCATCATGATCCTGGCCCCACTCTATAACCATGCCATTGTCCCATTTGCTCGAAAGTTAACGGACACTGAAATGGGGATTACCCATTTACAACGAATTGGGACAGGGCTATTCCTCTCTATTGTGGCAATGGCTGTGGCAGCTTTAGTGGAAATCAAGAGGAAGAAAGTTGCTTCCAGATTTGGCCTGTTAGATTCAGCAAAACCTCTGCCTATTACATTCCTTTGGGTGGCTTTACAGTATTCATTCCTTGGATCCGCAGATCTTTTCACTTTGGCAGGCATGATGGAATTCTTCTTCACAGAAGCACCATTAAGCATGAGGTCGGTGGCCACAGCTCTGTCATGGGCTTCACTAGCCATGGGATACTTCCTCAGCACAGTTCTTGTTTCCGTTGTGAATAGGGTGACTGGGACCTTTGGAGCCATGCCCTGGCTCTCTGGTATCAACTTGAATCACTATCACCTTGAAAGGTTTTACTGGCTCATGTGTGTGCTCAGTGGACTGAACTTTCTCCATTATCTTTTCTGGGTCAATTCCTACAAGTATAGATCAATAAGGCCAGTGCAGTAGAACAAAGACAGCCCTTGGTTTCATGTTTTAGAGAGTTATAAGGCATTGCTCTTTAATCATGGTTATGATACAACTTCCAAATAATGAGAAAGAAGGATAGCAATCTCTAGTTAGTTACCTATTCCATGGGGCCCGCAGTGTAGGTCCTAGTGTCAAAATTCATACTTTTCTGCTTCAATGGCAGTAGGGATCAATATTGGGGTTTGGTGGAGATTCCTTCTTCTATGTATAATTGAATAGCCATTTCTATTTATAATTGTTCAAAAGATCAGTCCGCTAAAAGGACCAGAAACACAAAAAAGTAAGACATTTACAATCAATGACTGACCAATTTGAAAGCTCTCTAATTCACAAACAAAATGAAACCGTTTCTAATGCCTGTTTTTCTTTCATTCTGATCAAATGAGGTCTTGAAAAAATAGAACTGCCGGTTTATATTAACCGAGGGAATTATCTTACAGGGTCCCAACGACGAGCCTAGCTTCTGTACCGTTCTTTATTTAAGTTTACGTTTGGTTTTTTGCGTTGATGGAGGAGTAGGGAAGACAATAAAGTATTGTATGGATATAGGAAACTCGCAATATAGGCCACAGGCTGGGCATGCTTGTTTTGTTGAGGACCGACCGATAAAGTTAAATCATAACGAATCCTAGTGGAAGGGAACAAGACAAAGTGAAGATATGGACGTAGATGGATGCAAAGTTTGACAGGGTCAACGTCAGTGAGACTTGTTAGATATTCTTAGTTGTTTGAAAAAGAGATTGATATTGATAACAGCCATATATATTACTGATAAAGATATAATTATTTAGATTAAAAAAACTCTAAAATTTTAAAAAATAAAACACAATGCAAGGGATTATATTGATAAAAATTAAACTAATTTAAAAATTAATTTATTTTAATTTAACTACATACACACACTAGATTATCCATATATCTTACACATTAAATTATTTTTGAGAGTCAATTTGTATTTTAAAATTTAAAATTTTAAAAAGGACCAAATTAATAAAAAATAAATTTAAAATACTAAATTGATAAAAAATAAATTTAAAGGACCAAATCAATAATTAACACAAACTTAAAGATTAAAAGTTTTATTATCCCATTTAAGAAGTTTTGAAAATACAAAAACTCAATATAATAGTGGAAAGTAAAAAAAATGAAAACTGTGATTATGGTTGGCAAAACTTATTATAACCTACTTGTGGATAGATGGATTTGGATAAAGTACTTAACGAGTGTTTTATGAAGCATGATAATAATAATTTAATTTATTTAATGACTATGAGATATTTTTTTAATATAATAATACTCAAAATATCAAGTTTCAAATTTTCAGAGACGATGAAAAATGTTTTGATCATGATGATTATTTTAAATTTTTTCAGAAAAATATATTTTTACATTTTTTTGCATTAATGAAATTCAACAACTATAATTAAGTTTAACTAAAAAGTGATTATAATTAAGATGTTCATTGAGTAAATGGATTGAAGTCACAAAATCCAAATTTCTAAAATCTAACAATTATAATTAAGAAATTCATTAAATGAATAGATTAAAATCAGTCACCAAATCCAAATTTCCTGTTGACAGTTCTTCATCTTCAGACACCAAAAACAAAGGCTATACCTCATTGAATATGTGGCAATATGCTGTTTTCATTTTTTGTAAAATGTTTTTGAATTGGATTGCAGCCATTTTTCCATTATCCAATCTTTTATGTTAGGCAGCATTTTGTACCGCATCTTTTCTAATAATCATTAATCAAGTTCATCACCCTTTACTTTTATGCTTCGGATGCTCCTTGCTTGACACCTTTCCTTTTTTCCTTTTACTTTTTTTTCACTCGTGACGGGATTTATTTATTTTTAATATTTAAACCCTCTAAAATGATGGGCCCCTAACTATTGGGTCGAGTTTGTGTCACAATTATGGGCCGCGTACTAAGAAAAGCAAGTCAAATATTTCAATTGTTCGTGCATTTAGGACTGCGTTCAAATCATGAAAAAAGAATCCAATTTTATTATACAAACACTGATTTATCTAAGATTTATTTTTTTCTGTTATCAATCAATGTATCGATATTTAATATAAATGGTTAGGAAAAAAAATTAAGATCACAATCAAGATAAAATAAAATAAAGTAAAATATGTATATCACTGTGAGATCGCCTCTTGCAAAATTCTTTCTTTCCTTTTTTTTTTCCTTTTTAACAGAATCAAGTTATACAAAAATCATTTATATCATTGAAAGGTTTATTTTTATTAAATTCAGTCTTATATAATATTTTTTTATGAGCCTAAACCATATGTAAGCTTAAATCCCCTGTGCCTTGACGAAATTTTCAAGAGTATCTTGGTGGTTGGCTCTTGGTTCAGATAACCATTAAGTTAAATAATTATATATATATATATATATATTTTGGATAGAGCCGGTAATTGGATTAAGCCCGACGGGCTAGCCCAAATTGGCCCGAAAAAATTTAAGGCTGGGCTTAAAAAAAGATTTTTTTTATGTTCGGGCCTATTCGGGCCAAGCTCGATCGAGTTCGGGCTTGACCCGAATACATGAATAAAAAAATTATATTTTTTAAAATATATAAAATATAATAAATATTAATTAATTCTTTAAATTTTAGATCATTTTATACTAAAATACCATATATTTGAGTCCTAGACATTGTTTAAGTATTAAAAAATATATTTTATATTTTTATAAAATAAAATAATTAATTTCAAAGTAAAAAAATAATTAAAAATAATTTTAAAAATTAAATTCGGATATTTGGGCAGCCCGAAGTTCAAAGAATTCAGGCCGGGCTTAATTATTGGGGCTTTTCAAAGACATGGGTCTATTCAGGCCGCGAAATAGGCCCGACCCGCCTGAATTTTTGACTTTAATTTTGGACCTAAATTGTCTGTGTGCATGAGGATTTGATTCATTAATAAAAACAAATGGGTCATTATAGATGATAATGATGATGATACGAATATATGATGATGCATCAATGTGTGTGTGCCGTGAGAAGGCCTCCCGCCTCCTGAGTCATCTTCTGAGAAGCCGAACTGAACTCTCTTGTTGCTACTGTGAGATATGCTTTCAGACTTATCGGGGCATACTTGATTTTTGTTTTGAAAAATTGTTTCATATTTTTAAAAATAAAAAATTTTAAAAATTATTTAAATAAGTGTTTTAGATTAAATTATTTTTAAAGCTCTTCTTTTTTTTATTTTTAAAAATAAACAAGGAAAATATCTTAAAGTTGTTTTTATTTTATTTTTTTATTTTCAAAACATAGTTTACTTAAAAAATTTCTATCATAAAACAATATCATTAATTGCTTGTAACTATCATTATCAGTATACTTTTAAATTATAAAATTGTTTTTAAATTAATGAAATATATTTTCAATTTTTTGTTTTGAAAAATAATTCTAAAAATTATATTGCAAAATAAGTTTTAAAAATAAAAAATGATGTCAGAAACCAAATAAGCTCTTAGTTTCCCTGGCTCCTGTATTATTTGTTACACGACTTGTGTCGTTCTTGTTTTATTATGAGCCATGATGCGGGTGCATGCATTATTTATTCTTTACACTAATTTTCGTTATGCTTATAGTAATAGTTAATTTTTAAATTCACTAAACAATCATAATAAGTCATCCACCACATGCAAATCATAAAAAAAAATCATGCATTAAATGAGTCCGACCTACCTATCTATTATGATAAAAATAGCAACTTATTAATAAAGATATTGCTTGATCAATTTATTTATTGGAATTATTAATTAACATGCCCAAATATTTATATTTCATTCTATTATTTTCATATTTTTAATTGATTTTAATATTGATTTATAAATTTTAAAACATTGAGTGTATCTTTTTTGAATCCGCGTACTAAAATAATCCTGCATCGTATTCGCAGGGTGCAATACACTTGCCTTTTATATCATAACTATAATTCTTTCCCCCTGAAAAAGTACATTAAAGTATTAAGGCCTAAACGATACAGTTCATGAAGTTCCGTTCTCTCTAAAATGATGTCAGAAACTCAATAAGCTCTAAAAGGAGGGAAGGATCCCTCATCATTCTTCAACTCCTAAAAGAGGGTAAGAGGGTAATCAAAGATACAATTTTTTTTTTTTATCAAAAGTGTAAGAAAATTTAGGTAAAAGATCAGCTAATACATTCTTTTCTCTCGAAAATGATGAGAGAACTCTTAACTCCCAATCTCTATGGATCAACATCCCTCTGTTATCAATAATATCAATGATGTCTTTGAAACAACGTTTTTCATTGCATCCTCCGGTAACCATCTGTATCATACACATTCATGCCAATGATTCATAACCAAATTTGACAATTGACAATAACGTGTAACTGGAAACCAGTAAATCATGAAACGTAAGCAATTTGCAAAGACAAAAAATAAAGATTGCAATTAATTCAAAGTTATTAAAATAAGGAATTTTCTTATTTGGATTCATCACGTGAAGTTTAAATAACACTATTCCTCCTCATACCGTCCACGTTGCGGCGCGCCCGTGGTTTCTTGGACGTTCTTTAAAACTGCTTTTTATAACGGTCACACTTTTGGAACCCAGGATACCGAAAATCCTTGACAGTAAACAACATAGTTCTCTGTTCCGATTGCAGCAAAACAACAATCAGGTATAAAGTTTGAATTTTTTGAGGCAGAAGTTCATTTTCTATTGTGAATTTGTGTGAAATCTTTCTGTTTTGGCTTCAGGGGTTTCTGGGAACCCGTTCTATACTCTGTTCGCAGTTCTTGCCTCACAGCTGCTTTTTTTTTTTTTTAAGCCTTTTATTCTCTCGGCTTGCCTTAATTCGAAGAGGTCACCAAAACTTGACTTATCAAATTATTTATATTGTATTTGTCAATTCTTGCGGGGGGGAATTACGTCGAACAATACGAGTAAACGGACCCGACAATTATATAGCTTTCTTCTTTATATTCTACTTAGCTAATTTGTTTCTAGGTTTTATCTGTCAGAACAAGATGTTAGCTGGAACCACCTTGACGAAATTTTCAAGAGTCATCTTGTTGGTTGGCTTTGGATTCAGACAAACTGTATCACAAGTATTGTAATGCATGCGCAAATAGGATTTTTCATTGAAAAGAACGGGTCATTATTGATGGCGATGCATATGAAGAATAGCATGATACAATAAAATCATATTAATGACAGAAAATATACCTGAAAAAAAGTGAGGGGTCCATGCTGTTGAAGAGAAGAGAAGTGGCAACTCACTTGGACCAAAAAAATCCTCAATAACTGTTTTTAAAGACATGAAAATAGAGGGTTTGGTTTGGGTGCTTATTTCTAGTTGACATTAAAATTGGATTAAATAGGATTATTGACTTCAAATTTGGTTGTGGGTTGAAACATCTTCGAAAATAACTTGAATTCTACATGATTTATTCAATTAGACCAAACTTATTTAATAAAGTGTAAAAATTACTATTTAATATCAATGATTGTGTTTGTGATTAAATTTGACTATTGATAAATGCTAATCCATACATAATAATAAAATTATTCTTACATAGCGTGTATGTGTATCTGTCATGCTGATTGGCTTTTGATTCAGACAAACAATATGATACTTCACTCTCTTGAAAGATAGGGAAGAACTATGTGCATGCGAATATTATTTTTTCAATGGTACAGATGGATCCTTATTAATCGTGATGTACAAGCAAATTGTGAAAAGGTCTCTCAAGTCATCTTTGCTGGGTCTGCATTTAAAGCCTAACCTTGTTCTGCCGGTTGCTCTGAATTCTGACAATAATCTTTCTTCTTGCCACCTCTATCCCCTCTCATATTTTTTTCCCTTTTAAAGACTCGTAAGTTTCCTCAGCTCCATGTGTGTGTGAGATGCCGGTGGAATTTTAATGCATGCTTTTCACATGCACACGGCGTGCCCTTAACACAAAAGATCAGAATATAAGAATGGCGTTCACAGAACTCAAGATCTGATTGTTTAGTACTCTTCTATGGCTGTAAAAGTTAATAACTTGGGAGGACTTTTGGGTATCTCCTTTGGTTAATTCTTTTTCTTAACACGATGATGTTTAAAATTTGCCTTCATTTTGTCTGCTCTCTTATCGATGAGAGAAAATAGACAATAGTTTTTTCCCCAGGTCCTTTCACCCCATTCTATATCTCTATATCCAATTGGTAACCGATATGATTCTAGATGTGAATATTAATTTCTTTTCTGTTTTGTCGAATGTAATTTATTTTTCTTTTCCTATTGGAATCAACTTTAGAATTTGCAATTAGCACGTATTTGTGAAGACTTGACCTTTTGTATATATGTATCTTGCGTATCAGTGGTTGGATGGAACATCCACCGCAAATTGCATTTTGTTCTACCACGCATTCTTCTCACTTTCAAACTTCTATCTTATTGGGTTGATGATATGCTCATAAAATTTTAGACGCAGGTGAAGTGCAAATGGGGAATCTTTTCTGTTGTGTACAAGTTGGACAATCCACAGTGGCTATAAAAGAACGATTTGGGAGGTTTGAAGATGTACTTGAGCCAGGTTGCCATTGCATGCCGTGGATTCTTGGAAGTCAAGTTTCTGGCCATCTCTCTCTTAGGCTACAGCAACTGGATATCCGATGTGAGACCAAGACAAAGGTTTGTTATTCTCTGACTTCCGTTATAATTAGATCATCCCATGCCTATAAACGACCAACATCACATCCTTTTATTTATTGAAGAAAATAAAACAAAAAAAAAAATTGGATGAAATCCTTGAGCTCAATCTTTGAATTTCACCTCCACTGTCAAATTAGTGCTTATTACGATGCATGAATTTTTTTTAGTGATATACAGTTGATTGGTGTTTGTGGTCATTTGCTTTCAGGATAATGTATTTGTTAATGTTGTTGCTTCTGTCCAATACCGCGCTCTGGCTGACAAGGCCTTTGATGCATATTACAAACTAAGCAATACAAGGTCCCAAATCCAGGCCTATGTTTTTGATGGTATAAACCAGAACATTCCTTGATGTTGCAAATGCTAACTAAGCCAATTTGCTATTTATCAGCTGAGATGAAACTGCCTTTCTCATTGCAGTAATCAGAGCAAGTGTTCCAAAGCTAGATTTGGATGATGCTTTTGAGCAGAAAAATGAAATTGCAAAAGCTGTGGAGGAAGAACTTGAAAAGGTAAATTTTTATGATACTCATTAATATTGTGAACTTTGAAGTTGTTTGACTTGATTCTGATTTTTTATTTTTTCAACAGGCTATGTCAGCTTATGGCTATGAAATTGTTCAAACACTAATTGTTGATATAGAGCCAGATGAGCATGTCAAGCGGGCTATGAATGAAATCAATGCTGGTATATTATATGTGCATTATGTCACTCTTACATGTTATTTTCATTCATTCTCCACGGCCTATCAGGTCTTTATTACACGCATGAATTAATGAAAACCTATTGAAGACTCTCTCTCCAGTGTTAGATCCTCAATCTGATATGTTGCTTGATATTGTTGGTGTCTTATTGCCTTGTTTTAGCTGGCAGAATTGGTGAAATTTTTATTTTTTATTTTTTTGCTTTTGATCATCTCCTAATAATTTCTTTTTATCTCAGCTGCGAGATTGAGGGTGGCAGCTAATGAGAAGGCAGAGGCAGAGAAGATTGTGCAAATTAAGCGAGCTGAGGGTGAGGCAGAGTCCAAGTATCTCTCTGGACTGGGTATTGCTAGGCAACGTCAAGCAATTGTGGATGGCTTAAGAGACAGTGTGCTTGGATTCTCAGTAAATGTACCTGGAACCACTGCTAAAGATGTGATGGACATGGTGCTTGTGACTCAGTATTTTGATACCATGAAAGAAATTGGTGCTGCCTCCAAGTCTTCTGCTGTGTTCATTCCCCATGGACCTGGTGCTGTTCGCGATGTTGCCACTCAAATTCGGGATGGACTTCTTCAGGCTTCTCATCAGTAGCTTCTGTGTCACCAAGCTCTTTTGTCTGGTTTGTACAGCAATATGGATGATATTGTATTGACCATTAGCGTGGTGGGTATCTGTGAACTATGCTTTCTGATCTTGTTATGTGGCAGCATTAAGTGTTACTGTAGATATGAGTTCTCTAGATTTGTAGACCATGCCCCTTTTAAATATTCTGCTTGGGATACTCAAACTATCAATTCCCCCTACAGATTACTTGTTTTCTATGGTGTAAAAGGCGCTTTCAAGGAAATTTCTTTTGTTTTGTTTACCTCTGGATGTTACATCATGCTAAATCATGTTACATGGCTCACAGTTGCCAGCATGGTAAATGATAGGATGAGAAATTGTTGCTGTTGTTTTCTGATGATTTCTGTTTGATGAAACTGATCTCAAAAATATTTGGTACTATCATTGTGTTTATTCATAAGAGTTGTCAAGAACTCTTTCCTAGGTCCTCAACCCTTCAGAGAAACACTCAGCATGGCATGTATGGCATCTCATACTGTTCTACAATATTGATTAAAATGGATAGTAATAAAAAATGATAACTTCCATCATGCGTGCAAGATAATATAATGGCTTTTCTCCTTGAGATTGACTAGGGTGCTAGAGCCAGGGAGAGTCCAATCTTAGGAAGTTTACTTGTGGCCCTAAAATCAATTTCTCCAGCCATGGATATACAAATTCTCTGCCAGAACTGTTGCTGAATTAGCGCACCCGCCTTGCCGTAAGTGTCAAGTCGAGCCTTCACCATTGTGCAAGGTAACAATGCGTGCTGAGCACCAATTGTCACACCAGTTTCATTCAGTGAGATCCTATGCTTCACCTCTGCTGCTATGGCTGTCTTAGTCAGAGGGTTCACTTCATGATAAAATGATGCTTTCACTGTGTCAAACCTGTCATGCCTGCATCAAACCAAACTTCAGAATCTCATGATAGTTTCACAAAGATCCAGCTAAAACTAATCATGCGCAGTTTAAGTGGACATTTTGAACTTGTGTGTGGGGCTATATGTTTTGAAGCTCACATGGTCATAGAAGCAACAAGGAACGCGGTGTTGAAGCTGAAACCAACATTCATTTTCCTGAATTCCCTTGTTGAGATGTCGTAAGCAAGTTTGGTCCCCAAAGATAGAATATCTGTTCCTATAAGACCAGAGAAGTTGACAACAGGGTCATATCCTCTTTCAAGGTTTCCTATTAATCCAATGCACCCAGTAATCCCAGTGTAGTTACTCAGGTATTGCAGTTCCACCTGTGATCATCAAAATTCAAATGAACTAAGAAATAAGGATGACCATGAAGATTGAGTCATCTTCAAAGATTATATCAACGAGTTTAAATTCTAAAGCAAATATGATATCTAGAACATAAGAAGAAAGCCTTTTAAGTTCAAAGGTAATTTTACATGAAAGTGCATAAATAATTTTTGACTAAAGTATACATTTAGTCTTTTAACTGTACTTTTAGTGTATTAATTTTATAAAGTGTCTTTTTAATTTTTTAACCCCAACACTGTTAGTTTTATCTCAATAAATTTTTACATTGAACTTTCAAATATTAACAAAACTTTTTCAGATATTGACATATTTAGTTTAATTTTTTAAAATAATAATAATTAATATAAAAAATAGTTATTTGAAGGTAATGATATTAGGGTTAAAGGATTAAAAAGATACTTAACAAAATTAAATTTTTATATAAAGTTAGAGGACTAAAATTATACTTTAACCATAATTTTATTATATCTTGCAAGTTAGAAAAATTTTACCTTTCCGGAATCAGGTAGCGTAAAATTGAAAAGACTTCTTAGTCCAGGAACAATTTCTTCTACTGTTATAGTTGCAACAAAAAAGACACTATGGTCAGCTGTTAAAATTCCACGGCTATTATTTCCATTTTCAGGTATAATATTTAGGACCAAGGCTGTTATTTCTCATAACTTTTTTTTTGCTAACAGATTTTTTTTCAAGCTATGAGGTAGGGAGCAAAAAAAAAAAAAAAAAGGAGCTGATATTTCAATTACCTTGACAGGAAAGATCTAGATTCCAGTCCATGAATTGGTAGTGAAAGTGAATTGGTGGCTGGTGAGCGTAGTCCTTGTGAAGAACATCTTGAAATTACACGTGTTAGAATGTTAAAGACAATGAAACTTCAAGATCACTAACTATATCAGGTTCAGTGGAAAAAAAAATCAACAAGGCAAAGAATCTGAAAGAAAAGAAGATCATCCTCAAACCTTTGGCCCTTTTCCCAATATCAAAATATAAGCCCGGACACTTGCTCATTTCGCTAAGAACACTGCATAGAAATCAATATTCTATTCTGAGATGCGCCTGGTTTGATTTGGTAGGCTCGAGAATTTATTGGAAAATGATGGAAGGAAATGACGAAATTTCCTCTCGTGCAAACAGACATTTAATTGAACAGTGTCCAATCTCCAAACGAAATTTCCAACGAACCCGTTGGGGGTACTGTTTATGTGAGTCAAGACGGTGGCGCATAGAGAAAGAGTAAGACTTAAGCTAGGCGGTCTCAGTGCTGAAGTTGGTATAGTTAGCTTAGAGTAATTTGGCCTGTAAATCTCGGTCCTATGCAAATTATTGTTGACAATCATCCTTGCTTTGCTCTTAAGCTGATTTCAGAATTATGGTACACATTTGGAAGCATTTAATCTCCTATTCTTATCACTGTTTAACAAGTCTTTACAAATCAAAATTAACAAAACTAAGATCAAACCCTACAAACACATACCGAACACCAAGTCTTTCAATCTGAAGATGCATTACACATATTAGAAGGTACATTTGCGAACTCCAGAATTTTGCTACAAATTTTGCATCTCATGCTTCTTCACAACAACTTCTTCGTGTTCATGTTCATCTATTTCTTCAGTCTCCATATAGATTGCCATGGATTTGGATTTTGTTCCCTCTGGAAAGCGTAGACCTAGATAATTTAAGGGAAGTATAATTGCTGTGACACAATTTTCTCCCTAACAAGGCGATTAACTGAAAACTGACAATGGCGGAAGGTATAAAATTCTCTTCTCAGAAACGGAGCTTTAAGGAAACTTGACAATCTGCCAAGAACAGCGTCACAAGAAGGTACTATTTTTGGCTACATTTTGGAGTACTGGAAATCTTCACTCCCACGCGTTCTAGTCAACATGGATAATATTCTTTACCAATTTCTTTTTTAAAGCTCAGATGATATTCTCACACAGTCAATTTACTCTCATTTAAGAGTAAGTTACAAATAACTTTGTAGTTTGTTAAAAAAAAAAAAAGATTTTTAAATTTCATTTAAGGTTACATATGCGTCTGTTATTGACTAAAATAGTTTTATTTAATTTAAATATATTTTTTTAATTAATATCAATAAATATAATATATGTTTATATTTTTAAGATAAATAAAGTATCATTTTGTATATATATGAAAAATTATGCTACGTTGTTACAGCCAAAAAGATCCATATAATATAATCTAATGATTACAATCGTGAAAGGAGCATACCCATAAGGCTATAATTTAAGCTGTATGCTATAAAAATAAAAAGTATACGGTTTCAAGTAAGGGAAGCAAATAAGTCGGTCGTCTGTACAATTGACTACGAAGAGTATTGCCCATCATATGGACAAGCCACTCCGTTTTGTGCCGCATTAGTTGAAAAGTCACAGCATATAATGAAACATACGAGCATCTTTTTTCCTGGAAGTGAGAATGGGTATAAATTTTTTTTATTCATATTTTTTTCCTGAAATTTGTAAGAATAAAATAGGAGGATTCTACTTTTTAATTACAAGATCATAATATTGTAGAGGAGAAATTAATAATTAAATTTCTGATCTGGTTTATGTATTTTTAGTCACAAAGTCATAATACGTACTATAGGCTTGCTGGTAGTTTTATAGAGAAGCCATTTTCTGGTTTGGATCCATGAATGGCCTCTGTACTGGTCTTGTATAGGTTGATTTATGTAATACAAATTAGGTTGACGACACAGAAAGAAAAAAGGGGGGGGGGGCTATGAAATTGTTTCATGGTTTTGAATTTCACCATAGACAATTTCTACTCTTGGCCACTGATCTGTGATTATCCTGCGTGTGATCATAAATTCATCAATGATTTGGCCATAATATGATCACTGAATGCCAATATGGGAGGAATGTATGAACGAAGATGAAGGGTCATTTCTGTTCATGGTGCACCAGAATATGGCTCTGCTAAACTGCGTCAATAATAAATTTAGTCAGATGTATGCCTAAAAGATGATGAGGCCTGAATATATGCTTGGCTTGAATTTGTGATGCAATTCAATGTAGTGGATTTACACCTTCATAGTCATCAATCCTAAATCATTAATTAATGGTCCTTAATCTTCTTTCTTTCTTTGCTTGCCCCTGTACATGTGCATGTGTGACCCGTTATCTAATTTGCATTCAAGAAAAAGAGTTCTCCATTTGAGCAAGCCAAACTTCCAAGTTGAGAGATGTCTTTCTCTACCCTGCCAGTGTGGGCAATATTGATATTACCAAAACAAAATCTAATTTAAGATGAAGCAAACATATTTACTGACCAGTCTAGCATCAACATGACCAATAGAGAAATGTGCTTTGCAATGCCTTGGATTTGTATATTTAACACGAGTGCGCTTCTATTTGGTCCATCCATGAGCATAGTACATGTAAAGGTCATAATAAAGAATTCAAGGTATTATTAAAATATTAGAACCGCAGTTCACCAATAGAACAAAACATCAAGATCACAAGCAGATTGAACTTAAAACAACCTATAAAAACAGTACAGAAGCTCCTAAAGCAAATTTTTTATGTCAAAAAGATATCCAAGAGGCATATACTTTCCCAAACATGATGACAAGAAATTCTCCACGCCATCAAAGAGCCAAGACCTTGTCTTTTATTTCAAGTCTTGAATGGTGATCGTCAAGCAATGTAGTTGATTACAGAAAAAAAAAGAACACGATGACAACTAGCTTACTTTCCTTCAAAGTTTCATCCCCTACTTCAGTGTCCATACAATGTTATTATTGCAAAATGCCAAATATTTGCTTTGTTGTCTCACCCTTGCTCCCACCATCTATCCCAATATTTAAATTCTGATGTCTGAAAAATTGTCCCAAAAAGCAAATAAAACAAGAAAAAGAAAAAAGACCTACAATAGTGTGAATCAATCTACATCAATTGATCAGACAAGCTTGGCAGTCTCCTGAAAAAGTTCAAGGAAGCGGAAGGCATTGGGTCCCTAAACATGGGATGTCGCAGGTAGTAGAATCCTAAAGCCACAGCCACCATTTTTGGCGGCACCGCATACATTATCACTGTAATGGCCATGCACACTACAATGAATTGCTTTGTGGCCCTTGGATCCCTCCAACTCACCAAGGCTTGCAGCCTCTCTCCTTGTGCTGCAAAATGGCCTAACACTGTTTGGACCCGAGCAGCCAGCATGCGTAACCTGTCATATCGGACTCGAATTATATCAGGTGGCCTTGAACTAGGCATTGTGTCAAATTCCTCATCTAACTCATCCGGGTCAACAGTTTCAGCTTGTGACAATCGGGTATCCATTCCAGCTGGTATCTTAGGTCTGAACCGATAATACCATATGCCAATCAAAACCACGTATAAGAACCCAGTAGGGACAATCAAATCCGGATACCAAACAAGTACCAAATACAAAACATGGACCAGAACAGTCGTCATTGGGTTCCTCCACCTTTTGATATCGTCCAACCATTTCGCCAACCCGATGGCCCATGCCAGAACCGCCACGATCCGACACCAATTGACCTTGCTCTTCCTCATGCTCCAAGTGTGTGAGTCTGTGTCCAACATATACTGAACCACCTCATGCCCCAATGGTGGCTCAGCCTTAGAGAGCCATTGAGCCACCATCTTTATGGCGGCTCCACGTAATGCTTCCTGTTGAGCCAAACCAAGTGGACGAAGATAATGCATTCTAGGAAATAATGGCTGCCCATAAAGTGCACAAGTATCAGGCAATAAAGAAGGGCAGGCAAAACGAACTGCTAGTTCAATCTCACCAATTTTCTTCAACCCATATCTAGATAACACCAACAAAGGATATGAATTTGTATACACCTTATTACTCTCCAGAGTAGATACTCGGATTCGCACTTTCCCAATACGACTATCAGGTTTATCTTCTGACGCATCCACAAACATTCGCCAATTGTCAAACACACCGATAGTCAAGACTGTACAAGGGTCATACACTTGCCATGTGTACTGCTCGTTCCAACGTGGATCAAAGCTGTCTATGATGGTTCGAGTGCGAACCCATTTCTTCCCATACTTGGCCACACAGTAAGCATCAGTGGACCCCTTTCCTCCTGGTCTGGGTTTCATGGGAATGAGATCGCGAGCCCCTAAGATGCCTAATTCAAGAATTCCAATGGCCGGCTTCCATAACTGCTTTGCCGTTGCTCGAAAGTCACTGCATATATGTGCCGCTTCATCCAACACGTGATAGCCACCTTCTAAGCATAGTCTCAGGTGGACACGTCCACTGTAGGGGCCAACCCCTGTGAAACCTTCTAGGGGAAACCATTTTGATGTTACGTGGCGCTCATCGATTCGTTGCTCAATGGAGGTCAGTGGGATTACGATGTGCCCCAGTGTTACGGCTTCTTTGGTCGTACGATCTTCTACAAGCAAAATCATGGGATCTTCTTCCAAAGGCTCACCGGCCACAAAAAGCAGGTCTTCATTCCAATGGATGGATAGGCTATGGTTATTCATGCATCCTCGCCTTGTTCGTTGGCTTTGAAATCCTAATTGTACTTTTATTCGAATCTCCGGCACCGTTAATGGGGGGAGATTTGGAGGGATGTTAAGGTCTTGAGCTTCAATGATGTTCACACGCAAGTACCAAAGCTTTGGTGACTGGTATACTTTAGAGCGTGTGTATGCCACGTCGGGAACGTCGGAGCTCCATGCCTCCGGGAATGCATCATCTGCTTGTGTACCAATCCAGACGGAAAGTTGAATATCACCAGAAACTTTACCTGAATTTTGTTCAATGGCACCACCTTCGAGGCGATACCATTGCGGGGCCAAGGGACTATCAGGAGGGTCTCGTACAGGCACGTCAGAGAGATCAAAGCAAACACCACCCAAAAATTGCTCGTTTGGAGAATCCCAAACCGAGATCTCTAGTGTCGCGCTTGGTGTGTCAGCCTTGTGTCCGAGGGCGAAAACTTGGTTCCACTCTGGGGAGTCATTGGGCTCATTTGGACGGTATCGTGCAGGTTTTGATCGGAGCAAGGGGCCCGAAGACCCTCGAATCTTCACGTAGGGACTCTCATTTGGTGCCAACCCACGAGCCTTAACTATTCGGACAAATAGGTATTGCATCGGTTCCACCAACTCATAGGGGTGAACCCTCTCAGAATCGACATTGGTGGACTTTTTGGATATCACTTTCGGAGAGTAATCCCCATAGGGCCTCTTCAAAATCGTAACTCTCTCCACTCCCGGTATTCCTCCTGATTGCATTCTTCGGGCCTCTAGAGGTGGTATTTCCGATATAGGTGGTGGCGGTCCTGCCATATCTGGCATTGGTTGGTCCGGCGGTACATGGACCACCGGCGGTGGTGATTCTTCAACAATCACAACGTGCGGTGAATGAGGGACTTCAGGCACGCAATGTTCCTGCGGGCCTGGAACCTCAAACACTCTTCCCTCCTCTACGACTGCTACGGCCGGAGATTTCGTCCTCTCATGCTCTGCAACTTGCTGCTGTGGCTCCTGCTCTTGCTGCTGAGGGGGACCTTCTTCCTCCATCATCTCATCAAAGTAATAAATCTTAAGGCCTATTTCGCCCCTAATCCAACTAAAGACGCTCTTCTTCTCCAACGTATAGTACACCAGACCTTCATCCCCTCTCCTGGAGAATTGAGTACCGTTGAGCTTAACCCTGCCCAGGAAATGATTTTTCCGGCCACTCCCATTTCCGAACTTCTTGTCGTTGTAGACCTCAATCTCTAGCTCTTCGGATTCCATGTTATCGGGGTCAGATACAATGAACTCAAGATCCTCGTTCCAAACCGGGTTAAGCTCCCTGTACCTGGAACTGGTCCTTTTCCTCTGTCCATCAAAGTCAGCGACAACGTAAGGGCTAGAGCTTCCCTGGCCATCCTTTGGAAGGAGATTGCGTGCATCCACTACTTCGACGATCAGCTTTCTGGCAATCCTCGGAACATGCGGTGGTGGCTGAATCGGCATCGTCATGTTCTCATTTTGTTATCGGCATCGGGTTCTGCTTCCGTTAAGCTTGAAAGTGCAGCCAATAACGGTGGCCGTCGAGAGAGCTAAGCAGAGAAAGAGAGAGAGTAAGAGTGAGAACCAGGTTGGTTTTGCGGATTGCTTTCTCTGTGTGCTTTATTATTTTATTTTTCTTTATTTTAATTTAATTTTGGATTCGTGCTATTTCTTTATTCTTCCCTTTCCAGTTCTTTCATATATCAGTGGGGCTCGAATTGAAGTTTGGTAAAGAGGGTGACAGTGGGGAGATCAGATTCCTTGCTCTCTCGAGAAGGTTTTGCTTTCCTCTTTTACTTGATTCGCTATTCACCTCAGCTTCTCTTCCCTTTTTTTTAAATAGTTTGTTTGCCTAGAGTTGAAACAACAGTCCAAGGAAAGGAACTGAGGTTAAACACACGACTGAGCCAACAAATATTACTGTCAAGAAAGAAGAGCGTAGAGTCGGTAACTCGGACAGGCTGAATTTATTCAAGCCGAGCTTAATTTAGGTCGGGCTTAAAGAATCCTACTCTTTTTAAAAACTCATATAGTCAAGCCCGGCCCTAACACCTTCGGGCTTATTCGTGCCGACTTGAATACCAGAAACTTTTTTAAAAATATTTTTTTATTTTTAATTAATTTTAATTTTTAAATAATTTTATTAAGCATAACATATTATTTTAACTTGAAATGAATAAAAAATAATAATTTATTAACTTTGTAGTTAAGTATTTAAGTCATGTTACTGTTTTGTTGTATTATGTGCAATTTATTCATGAATGTTTCCTTTACTTGTAAATTAATGTCATATTTATTTAAATATTACTCTTATTATAGTTATATAAAAATATTTATATATTTTAATTGAATCATATTATTTTAATTATGATCAAGTTAATCTCAATTCAACTACGGTTAAACCATTAATTTAAAATTATTGTCCTGATTAGTTTAAGTTTTTAATAACTATTGGATAAACTGTACTTTTTATTTTTAAGAATATGAAAAAAATAGTCGTCATTATATTATATAAAATAAAATTATTTAATTATGGGTAAAATACTATTTTTTTGAATTTTTTTAAATCTTTTATATTGTTTAAGTCCTATATACAAAAAATATTTACTTTAATTCATTCTTAATTTTTAACTGGCGTGGATAATAATCAAATAATTATTTAAAAATATTATTTTATTTATTATGTTTGTTTAGTAGTAGAGCCGAAAATTCATACATGTCCAAATTTTATTTTTAAAATTATTTTTAATTTAAAATTAATTATCTTATTTTATAAAAAATATAAAATATAATTTTTTGGACAAGAAAATGGTTTATATGACTCAATTTTTTAAAAAAATTGAGTCTTAAAATATAAAAATTAATATTAAAATATATTTTAATTATTATTTTGAGATATTTTATTTGATTAAAAATAATAAAAATGGAAAAATATAAATATTTTTATTTTTTTAAAAATAACTATAGTAATACACTCAAATATATGGTATTTTAAAATAAAATGATCTAAAACTTAAAAAATAATTAATATTTACTATATTATATATTTTTTTTATTTGGGTATTCGGGCCAAGCCTGAACCCAAATTTTCTCGGGCCTATTCGGGCGGCCCAAATAGGCCCGAATAATAAAAAATATTATTTTTTTAAGTTTGGGTTTAAATTTTTCGAGCGGGTTTGGGCTGGCCCGTCGGGCTTGGCCCAAATTACCGACTCTAGAAGAGCGTGCCCCCGCACGAGTCTAATATAACCCTTGAAATTAGAGGTGAAAATTAGGGCGAGTTTCTGACTTTTATAAGTTCAGTTTTTACAGGCTTAGGCTCTAAAATATAATTACTTAAAATTTAATCTAATTCTAAGACTTGACCTTTATTTATAGGGTTTAGAATCTGGCTCTTAAACCCTCTTTCTTGAAAAAATTTAACATTTTAATTTAAATAAAATATTTTTAAATTTAATATAAAATAAATTAAAGTCTCACATAAAATTTGATAAAAATTTAAAATTTAAAATTTAAGATGAAGATTAAAATCTTTATCAATATAAATCTAAACCTCCTCATCATCATCTAAAAATAAAATATTAAATTCCTTAAATGTAGGTCTACTTGTTGAAGATGGAGTTGTAGATTTAATATTCATTATTTCTACAACTTCTTCTTCATCACTTATAATAAATATTAATCAAATTATGTCATTATTTATCAAATATAGGTATGTGTGTGCGCATACATATATAATATAACCCGGCTTATGGAGGCTTGAAGAGCCGCTTGAGCCTAAGCTCTTTTTCACAGGATTTATTAGGGTCAAGCTCTCAAATTCAATTACTTTAAAAAAAATTAATTTCTAACACCTTAATCCTTATTTAAACAGGGCTTTCAAGCCCAACATTTTAAATTCGACCCTTATTTTTTATTCTACATAATTATTAATCAATTATTAATTATTTAATTATGATTATTTCGTTAAACTAAATTATAGTTTATATAATTCCACTCGTTTGGAACCCGTGAGAATGATTGATGAACTCTCTTGCATTGATCTTTACGACCAAAAAGTCCTGGTTTTTAATTTTCAATCAATTTTCCATGCCTTAATTAGCAAATACCCGTGCCTCTTCTCTTTCTTTATTTTATTTTATTTTATAATTATTCGATTTAAATAAATGATAAGTTGCAGTATTCCACTGGTCTGAACCTTCAAGAATGCTGATCATGCGCTATCTTGGACTAATCTTTAGGGGCACAGAAGGCCTGATATTTACTTCTTAATCAATTTTTCAGGCCATTATAAACATAATTGTTAAACTCTCGAGTTAAATTTTTAAGTTTTATGTTTTTACTTTTTTAATTTATAAAATCATGCCAACTCACATGTAAACCCAAATTAGATACAAACTCTGTTAAACTCATGAGTTTACTTTCAAGTTTATTATTTTTACATTTCTAACTTATAAAATCATATCAATTAATTTATAAACTCGAACTAGATACAGGCTTATTAAGCTTGTCAATTTTTTTTTGAATTAAGCAAATTAAGTATATATTGTAAAAAATTTAATTTATAAAAGTTATAGGACTTGGTTCAAAAAAAAACTTGAAATACAAAAATTAATGTCAGTAAAAAGGAAAACAAAAATATCAAGAATAAGTTTCTCTATTTTAAATTTGTTATGTCTTGTGTATGATAATTCATCAATGTAGATAGGTTGCATTTCAATAATTTATATTTTTAATATATTTAAATTAAATTAGGTTATATTTTAGTGGCTATTTGTTAATAAAGAAAAACTCTTATGATGTTACAATTTAAATTTGCGATATGAGTTTATATTCCTATCACGAGTTTAACAACCTTGATCATAAGATCATGAGTACATGTTCTTGTTCTCTTAATAAGGTTTAATTAATGAACCCCTCATCTTATAGATATACTCTCTCTGTTTCTATTTGTAGGAGAGAAAAATTATATCACACAATTTAAAAAATTGATTAACTATATTAATTATGTTTAAAAGTAAAAAAAATTTGACTACAACACCCTTTATTAATTGTGTTAATCAAACATTCAAATCTCATTAATTGTTTCCTATGATTATGAATGATGAAATTATGAAGAATGGTTTAAAAAATTTGTAATAAATATCTATTAAAAATTATAATTTTATTTATATAAAAAATAAATTAAAAATAGCAGTTTCTTTTATAAATAAAAATGGAGAGAGCACACACCAATGATGTACACATCCTGACAAGCAGCTTGAACAATGCACAGCGGCCTAGGACGCTGCACCATACCACCACTATTTGTTGGTTTGAAGGTGAAGACTCCTTTTTTGTTAGACTGTACAGGTGAAGACTCTTTCTTGTGCTCATAGTCACAGATCTCACGTAAGATAAAAGATTAAGACAGGGGAAGGCACATGATTCCACGTCCCAACCATGGAGGCATCCTTTTTGTCAAAAGCACCCAATTTTGAATAAAGTTGGACGACAAAGCATCGCCTTTATCTCTTCTTTGGCTCTCTGATTCTCCCCTAGCTGTCCATTGCTTGTCACCATCTATATCTCAAACTATAAACCTTCCCTTTTTCATTTCAAGCAACCATTGGTTACAAAAATTGTGTTTAACAAGCTCCTAGGGGCTCCATTCCACTCTATCCTAGCTGATCTTAGCAGGTTTGTCACCCTTGGGCACTTTGTATTTTGCTCAACATGTAGCATTTTGGTTGTTTGGGGAGTTTTTAAACCACTTGGGAGCTATATAATTAATAATTAATGTTATTGGAAAAGGCAGGAATACACGTAAGAGGTGTTCAAGTTCTGCAAGCAAGGTTTTTGTGTTGAGATTAAAAGGGGAATTTTATTTTGTTCAGCTGCTGTGACTCACATGAAAACATTAGTTACTACTTTTTGGTTCAGATGCCCAAGAGACTTCTTTTATTCCGTATCAGTGCTATGCGTTTTTGTTGGCTTTTTTAATTTGGTGGGCTGTTTGTGGAATCTGATCCTGCAAGATAAAAGCAAATTTTGATACGATGCCTCTGATTCAGCATATTTTGGATCAAGTTGAGGATGAGGTGAGTGAAGAATACAGTTGCTTAAAGAATCAAATGCAAAGGATGTGTTGAAAAACAAAAGGCAATTTAAGTTATTTTTTTAGGGTTTTCTCAAAGGGATTCCGAGTCGGCATAAAGTTGGATACGTAGACCTGAGCATTGAGAAACCAGGAACTTGAAATTTCTAAGAACATAACCCTCTTGTGATTGTTTTCCTCACATGCCTCTTGCTGTAAGTTTAATATCCATCTTTCTATTTTTCCCTTTATGACTTTTATTTTGGATTTGATTTGAAAAGTAAGAAATTGAATTTCTTATGTATTAATCATATTATTTTCTGAGAGGACAGTCAAACTTGTTGTGCAGAATATTGACGTGGGGGCAGGATCTTTCCCTATCTCACTCAGAATTATGACAAGGCAAAGGTTTTTGATAAACAAATCAAACCATGCTTGAATGTATTAAAGATCTGGGGAAAAAGGAAGGAATGATAAGGAATAGATATTATTGTTTGCAGAAATTATATGAAGCTTTATTCTATATGCCTACAATATCATGGGAAAAGCATAACCACGAGCAGATAGATTTAAATTTCTTATTTGTTCACACACACGCATAAATATATGTGAGGGATGTCATATAAAGGGAAGAAAATACATTTATGAATGCAGATCAAGTAAATCCACTTATGGTGCTGTTGAGGATTGAAACTTGCGAGAAACTAACAACCCCAAGGAAAAGGCTAAAACTGCAGTGATAACAATTCCCTTGTTCTGTCTTAAAACTTTCACCGCACTTGTTAATATGGTAGGTTCTTTTTCCCACTTCCTTATCAACTCTTCAGAAAAACTCCCCACGTGGGTGACTTCTTTTCTTCTTATTTCCTCCTCTCTATGGAGGTCGTGTTGTGTGTTGTGACCTCTTTGTTGATTATGATCAGCACCGTGGTCCTCACGTTTGTAATTTTCTTCTGGGCTCCTAACACTGCCATTTGCAGCCATAGCAGCCTCAGTTTCGGTGTTCTCTTGTGCAGTTCTCTTGGTGATTGTCACGTAGAGGATCTCACCATCAAATTTCCCAGCTATCTTATCAGTATCTGAATCCTTTGGCACTGGAAAAATCAGCTCAAAATGAACACGTTTCTCTTCGTTCACTTGCCTTTCTCCTCTTACTATAATATAGCCAGAGCCCTCGACCTGCAGCTTCACCTCTTCCTTCTTGAATCCTGAAAAAAATAGTTTTCACTGGCTTGTTAATGACCTTACTTCAGGCATAGAGAGATTGAAGAAGCAAGCCAAGAAGAAAAATGACTAGTCGACATTGGAAAGAAAACAGACAGAGGCGTCCTCTTTCAATATGCCAATGCTTGTATGTTGCAGAAGCATGTATATTCTAGTCTTGTACTATGAAATAAAGGTGTTTGAATGTGGAATACCGGGAAGATCAACTAAAAGATAATGCCCGGTGGAGTCCTCTGTCCATCCAGAATTGGGCACTATTTGTTCCACGATAGGAGCACGTGAGCTTGTTCTGACTCCAGCCCTTCTTCCACCTCTAACAGTACTAGCCATTGATAAGGATGATCCAATAGCTGATATGATTCTCTAGACAGAAAGTATTGATTGGATGTTGAAGGAGTATCAAAATTCACGCAATGAAACTTTGTCCTTTGGTTTTAACACTTGATCGTGATCGTATATAATTGCTGTTTCATGCTGTGATCTGCATATTTCGTTTGATGGCGGTGAAGAGTTGATTGATGGCTTGTTAACATTATTATTCCAAACTTATGCGGAAAGAGCGTATAAGAACTTAAGGTGGTGACCAACGTATGTACGTAGTTTTGTAACATTGTCCAAAAGCGAACTATTCTTTCCTTGTTTTGCTCATTTCCACGCCACCTCTTTCTGCTATGGAGGTTGTCCAGCAGAAGAAGATATGTAGCCACCTCTCGAGTAGGCAACATTAATTTTATTAACATTAATTTTATTAACAAGAGCAACTTGGTTAAACTGATCGAGAGAGTCGAGTTAATTTATCCTTAAATCCTGAGTTTGTCCTGAAATGCAATCATATTAAATTAAAATGCCAAATATAATCCTAAAATACCCATAAAGCTGCCTTTAGTAGTAATGGTCCCTCATAGGAAGAGTTCAAATTATTTGGTCAGGTGGTGTTCCTAATACCCTATGTCCCCCTATACTAGCGATGAAAGAGGCTATGTCACTATGGCCGCTTGAGTGAGATCTAAGGTTTAAGTTTGTGTGTTTGTATATGAAATAAATATCTTTGGGAGAGCTATCTTCAATAAATCTAACAACACTCAAATCTGATTTAATTAAATAATCATGTCAAAAAAATATTGATCCAACGGTTGGTTTGTGGTGCATCATTAAATTCTCTGACTGATATACGTAAGAAATATATATATATATATATATAATTTTTAATAATAAATTAGAATATGTATATTATTTTGGTATATAAAAAGAATTTGAACTTTCAACATTATTTATATCTTATTTTATATCTATTATTTCAGTTAGTTAAGGACGACCTATTATATAATTATTTTACATGTTTTATATATGTATCATAATTTTGTTATACACTTCAATGCCAAATATATAAAAATTATTTAACTATTCTTTTCCACAAAAAAATTATTTAACTATATTTACTTGTTTTCAGTGTCAACTTTTCATTGTCAAACTTACTATAACAGGGAAATCATCGGTTGCTATTTTTCGTTTTGTTCATTTATTTACTCAGAGGTCTCTTCCTATTGAACATAATATTATTTAAAGTATTGTTGGGTACAAAAGTTCCATTTAATTACTAAAAAAATTAATATAAAAATGAACTAAGTTACTCTTCCCCATCATTATAAATATTATAAAACTCGTAAATATGTACTAAAAATATGAAAATTATCATACCTTTCAAAAATCTCATGAATCATAATTTCTAACTTTATAAATTAAATTATCCCTCTCCCTTATAAATATTGTTCACCATCCCTTTTGATTATCTCATTTTTACCTTTATTTTTTTAATTCATTCCTTTTTAGTAACTAAACAATACCTAAATATAAGCACCTCTTTCAATAAAAATTTGACTATTAATTCATTATATTGTAAGTGACTAATTCTTTTCATTAAGTGTGTGTTTGATTTTCAGTTTGCTAAAAATTTATTTGGTAAAGGTTCATTTGGTAAAAATTAATTTAATGAAAGTCAGTTGTTATAACGAAATTTGTATTTGGATAAATTTTTTCAAATATCAGTTTGATACATTAAAAGTTATTTAAATTATAATGATAAAATATGCTTTTGAATGTAAAATTATCAAAAAGGATATCGATTTGTGATGATATATAATTTTTATTATACGAATGTAATATATTTAAAATATTTTAAAAATATGATAAAGATTTTAGATAATATAAAATTTTCTCTATAATGCTAAAAACTTGATCTATAGTTATTTATACTTTTTAAATTTGTAATTTTAAAAAATATGATAAAGATTTATAATTTTTATTATATAATAATATTATAAATTAACATGATTAATTATTCAATTCATAATGCTGAAAACTTCATACTTAATTATTATTATTGAAATGAAAATTATGTTTTTAATGAATTAAATATTTTTTAAATAAAAAATAAGAGATTCAATTTAGGGTAGTATGGTCAAATAATATTTCACTTTTTAAATTCAATTTTTAAAAGTTTTAAATAATTATATTTCTTAAATTCACTTTCAGTCACTATTTAAATATTTTTTAAAAAAATTATTTTTACCTAAATAACTTTTAATATTTTAAAAGTGAAAGTGAAATCTTATTTTTTAAATGTAAAATTGAGAATGCCTAAACGAATCCTAAATCCACACTTGTTGATACATGCTGCCATGCGAGTAGGTGATGTCCTTATCTCAAGGCTTTCAGATGATGTCAACGCAATCCAGGCCAGCTGGCCCAAACCGGCAAAAAGGTCCCGGGATTTAAATTTTTTTGGCCTGACCCGGGATTAAACTTTTGCAATTTTTTACCAAAAAAACAACTTTTGCAATTGGAAATAAAAAATAGCACCAAAAATCTTACCATTTTGTTTACAGTGTAATTCCATTGATGCCCTTCTCAGTTCTTGGCTCCCACAGACGCCTGGTGTGAATTTTTTTAGAATTTGATTGTTTTTAATTTCTGTTAATCATTGCTTTACTGTTTAATGGTAAAAGTGCTTTTTTCACCGTTCTTTCTACAGTAAATTTCCTTTGTTGCCCTTTGCACAGTGTTTTATCCATTCATTTGTTATTGTAATATTAATTCCTTTACTAACAAAAATATATTTGTATCTAAAACAATATTTATATTCACATTTATCATTGACAACTATCTTAGTACTAAAAATTATTGTAATATCCATTAGTTTATTCAACAAAATATTATATATTTATGAAAATTTGATTTAAAACGATGGCAAAAATCATTACAATTTCCTTGATGAGGTAATGTAAAAATCCATAATTTAACATCCATATAAAAAATGATCGGAGAATAAAAACAGAACTTCCAAAATTTGAATGTAGTTTCTAAGCAAGAGTATGACTTGCAAAGTTTTATTTATTAGGTCAGACATTCTCATAAAAATATATACCCACATAATATCAAAACAAAAATTAAAAAAGTGAATTTAAAATTGTATGTTAAAAAAAATTCCTATCATACTATTTTGTAGTAGTTGTTTTATTTTTGTAATTAAAAAATTATTACTTCTTCCGTTTAAAAATGTAAGGTATTTTTAACCAAATATTACTTCCAATAAAGTAATTACTTACTTTTCAACTAACTTTATCTTTTTATATTTATTCCTATTAAACACATTACAATAAATATAAAGTCATTATTAATAAGGACATTTTAAAAAAATAATGATTACACCTTAAAAAAATAAAATTATTTTATATTTTTAAATATTAAATTTTTTAAAAAATATTTTATATTTTTAAATAAAGAAAGTGAAATTTAAAAGAGGCCAAAAGTTTGCAAGAAGTTTTGACTTAAGGTGTTTGTGTGGGTTAAGACTTTAATTTTGACTATAACAATAATATCAACATATAATATTTAAGACCCACTCAAAAAAGTTATCACAATAAAAGTTCATTATATTTGCATTAAATATTATTTTATAAAACACATACATATATATTGTTTAAAATTGAATCTTAAATTATTAAATTTTTAAAAAAAACCTTAATAAAAAATATAAATTATATTTTAGCTTTACGTATTTTTATAAAATAATATCTTATATCAAATTGATAAACTTTTATGGTAATATTTTTTTTTTGAAATGATCTTGAATATTATTCTCCCAAGGTAGCTCGGTAGTGTATTCTGGCGGTCTATATTTGTACAAGTGGCTTGAAGTTGACTAAAATATCCTTAATAAAGTTTTCAATAGCGCCATGGTTGTTCCCCTCACGAGTTATTCTCATTGGAGACTACGTACAGTTCACATCATACGGATAAATTATTGAGCTTTTATTCGTACGAGGCCATCCCGTTAAATTTCAAGTTTGACTATTTATTAAATATATAAATATTATAATTGAAATAATTATCTAACTCCTTCAATTTGAAATGTTGACATCGCTAATGTTGGTGGCTACATTTTTTAAGATATAAAAAAAAACAGTATAATGTAAAAGAATGAATGTAAATAATTTTTCAATAAAAATTAATTTAAAACAAAAACAAAATTTTAACGAAATTTAAAAATAGAATAAAAGTCAGTTGAGTTATGTTAATTCAAAAATAATTTTAAAATTTAAAAATAAATTGATATTGATGATTGCATGTAATTAATGATGGTGATTAATAATGAAAATCGGTCAAGCTAACTTATATTTTTTAATAATCAAATGTAGTATATTTTAAAAATAAAAAATAAAATAAAAATAATTTTAAAATATTTTCATTTTTTGTTTTTAAAAATAAAAAATAAAAATTTTATCTAAAATATTTATCCAAATGAGTTTTTTTAAATTTTTTTGTTTTGCAAATAGAAAACAGTTTTTAAAAATGGAAATGGAAACCAACCAAGCCTTAGAACTCTCCTTTTCCATGGCCATGTATACTTCAAGGCCATTAAGGCCATGGCCGAGGATTGAAAGTGAAATGTTATTATTATTTGATTACAAAATTTAAATATTTGATTTTGCAGCTCAAAAAATTACAAAAGTAATAAAAAAATAGATAAATAACAATAAATTATGCTTTTTAAATAATTTTATCTTTGGCTTTAAAAAATTTCACACCGCCCTATCTTTCTCCTAACATATTTTATACATTCATGAAGTTTCACCTTAAGATATTACATTATTGGAAAAAAGGCTCCAAACATTATGGTTGGCGCTTGAGCTGTTTTATGGAATTACTTATATTTTTCCTCGCACAGTTTAAATTTTGAATTTCAACTTCAAAACTCTGGTAAGAAAAACTTAAAAAGAAGGTTCAACTTTAAATTTGAGAATTTCAACTCAGACTCTGATAAGAAAATAAAACAGATATTCAACTCATATCCTTCAATTCATAAAACATATATCAATACATAAACTATTATTCAACATCGATATAGTTAATTAAAACTGAGATTAACCCCAGGGGGGGAGGGAGTGAATATAAGACGCCCAAGGAAAAACAGTCATCGTGTTAAACGTTTCTTGCATGTAGATGAATGTATGAGGAAAAAAAAATATAAATATTATGATTCTGGAAAAAAAAAAATGAATGGTCAATTTAGATAAAAGAAATATTGTTGGTCTGCCGATGATGCGCGTTCGAGTGAAAGAATATATAATATATGAACTTTCACATTA